GTCAGCTGACCATAATCATTTGACCCAGGGTTCCTGCCTAACGTTCTGCAGTCTCCCCAGGTCTGTCTGCCGATGGAGGATCCAAAGTGGCCTCTTCTTGTTTCTAAGATGGCGTCCGCCATGTGAAAAACTAAGCCAGATTAGCTGCGAGCATGGTGGATGCGGCTTGGGGCAGAGTTGGGACAATGATGCATGCCAAAGTGTTGCTGTGTCCCTTGGGAAATGTTTACAGGGTCACGTGATTCCACCTGCAGACAGGAGAGGCCAGTCATCTGACAGTTCATGCCTTTAAACTACACTCTCTCCCTTAAGCCATTATTTAAAAATTTCTCACCAACTTGTACTCCTGCCACCTGCCCTGACCTTAAGACCACTTTTGGCCTTACCCCTCTGTCTTACCATTTTGGATTTCACGCCTGGATATTATCCTATTTAATAAAGCACAATGCCATCCCACACTCATCAAAACATCTCCACCTCGAGAGTATTTTGTAGGTTGTGCTTGTAGAGGATTGCGGTTCTGCTTCACTTGGGTTCCAGATCCCAGAAAAACAGAACCCAGTGGGCTGTCACATAATTGCAGAGAGAAGGCAATGAGGAAGGAGTTTTATGTGTTGTCAGATTTATCAGTTGAAATGGAGGCTTAGGGTTTTTTTTTTCCCCACTATGTCAAATTTCCTTTTTCAGTTTCAGTTGTCCATTATTTATATAATTGTTTCCTGAATTTGATTGGTAAAATTCCAATGTGGTTAAATATTAACCAACTGCTAACTGGGTGGAGCCAAATGTATCTGCTAATAGATCTCATTGTCCAAATAGGTTCATTTAAAATTAGTTCAAAAGAATTGTAACCAAATTCCAATCAAATTACAGCAATATTGCAGCACAATTTCCCTACGTCAAAAGGAAAAATATCCCACTAATGTAAGAGTCAGGCCTGGAGGGATTGTGATCTATGTATCTTTAGCATGCTAAGTGGGGTTTAGGGTCACATTATGGTGATTTAACATTAGGGGCTTAATGTTTTTAATGTAATTTTCTTGGTCTGCATCAGGGGAATAGGGGAAAATAAATTGGCCATTAGGTTACAATTTGATTGTTTTGTTGAAATTAGTCGAAACCCCCATTGGGGTATTCTCAGACAACCAAACTGCAGCTATAGCTGAATGGAAGTTAAAATGGAAATTCTTTTAAATTAAACAAAATTTTCTTTTTTGTGAATGGCTGCATGGGTTAAAACCTTCAGCTGCTGTTCATTTGCCATTCAGAGTTTATTGAACTCTCAGATTTGACTGATTCTGTTCTTTATCTTTATTTTTAGACCGCCTGTAAATTTAACTAGTAATATACCGCTGCCTGAGGAACTGCCATTGACCCACCTTCCTGTACCTGTGCCCGATGCACCAGGGCTTCCTAGCTATGAGGAAGCATTAGAAGCATCAGGCACGTACGATGCACCCCCACCACCATATCAAAGGTAAGGTTTTTTAAAAATGTAAAATGTTTGCCAAATCAGCCATTCATGTATACAGTTAACAGCTGTAAATAAGGGATAGGCTCCTGGAAATGTATCTTTAAATACTGCTACTTATAAGAACAGTCCAAGTACCATAACCAGTACAGCCGTCTTTAGTGGCTATGGTGCCATTAGTGCCTGGTGCCCTCCTAATGTAATTTGTGAAACTGTTTTAGAATGGTTTGGCAAAATACTTGAGTTCCCCGGGCACCCAGGCTGCATACACTCTACTGCAGAAGAAGCCGCATGTTTCTCTGCAACTAAACACCGCCATTACAGGACCATGATAATTGGCTAAGAGACAATGAGAGTTCACTCTCTCAGCCAATGAGCCAGGTCGTGCATCAACTTGCTAACCAGATTCTCCTCCAGGAGAATCAGACAGCATGTTTTGCGGTCATGGGTGACTGGTGGGACCCAGGTAAGTTGTCCAACCATTCTAAAATGTTTTGACAAATTACATCAGGATGGTGCCAGGGTACTCCTGGCACTATAACCACTACAGTGAACTGTAGTGGTTTTGGTGATTGGAATCTTCCAAGCCAAAAGTGGGCTGGTTCCCAAAGATGGAAGCACAGAGGAGGGAGAGCTTTATGTAGGTAATTCTCCTTTTTTTCCCTCCCCTAGACGGTAGCAATGAAGTAGACATGTAACCTTGGTGGGTATCTGCCCAAGAATCCAATTTAAATCCCTGGGGGAAAAGCCAATTATGTAGTCCAAAGCTGTAAAAAGCATAAATGTTTTGTTTGACCTGCAGTGTTCATTTTACGTTAACACTGAATATTTGTAGTGCAAGCAACCATGCTTAAAGTGTTTCCTTAAAGTGTGTATACATGTGTATGGCACTTTGCAAAAACAAATGGACGAACATGCATGTGTTAATACTGCACTTCTCTTTGAATGTCTGAGGCACGTGGTGATGTCACCCTGAACACAGAAGTGCATGGGGGGGTTAATTACATTGTTTACCTCCGATTCATGAGGGTTTACTGTTGTGAGTGAAGTTGTGTCACTGCCTGACGAGTGACCATTACTCTTTAATGGATTACCCCAAGCACTATGACGATATCATTGTTTTGAAGTGGTCATGGTGTTTGGAGTCTGTACCTGCATAATTTCAGTATAAAACGAATACACAGAGATATAAAAAAAAATTACATTACTGATAGAGGTGGAACTCCACTTCAAGCACCGTCATTAGGGCATAATTAGTCAGATTGGAACAAGAGTTCTGGCTGGCTAAGGTCAGTTCTGTGCCTATTCCTTGCACAGATTATTATTCACTGTCTGAGAACGCTCAGCTTTCAGATAATGAATGATTGGCGTCCAGCTTCCACAGCCCTTCATGTGCGTCACCCAGCTCAGAGGAGGCTCTGCGCAGGGCAGGAGTCAGGAAAAAGGGCAAAACAATGCAAAATGAATTGGCTCATGACCAGGCACAGCACCATAAATGTCCCCAAAACACAAAAGGTAAAAAAAAACACAAAGAAGGGTTAAATGCACAGACTGTTTAAGTCTGAACCTGCAGCCAAAGTTCATAGATAATATAACTGCTATAGTTCTGTATTACTTTTATTTGATATTATGCAAACTATAATCTTTGAAATTTTTGTTTTCCGTAGAGGTTCTACCAGATCAACCACTGAACCCAGCTGAAGATAATTGCACTGAATATGGACTTCTTTATGACCAAAGTGTACAGCATGACTGTTAAAGAATTGAATGTGCTTTTGCGAAAAATGAAATGGGTTCTGTGTACATTTCTTTTTTTTTTCTTTTTTTTTTTTACTTTCCTTTTTCTTAATAACATGTCAGGCATTTTTCTTCAGTTACCAAAGCCACTGAAACTGCAGTGTAGATGCTATCCATGTTTAATCCATACTAGTTCCATGTCCTAGTTGATCTGTGCAGTTCTTCAGAGCTACACATCTCACATAAACATTTTAAACACTGGAGTTGGCATATTAAACCTGCACTGGGCTAATTATCCTTCATTACACAAGACAAACCCAACCTCATTGGCATTCTTAATGCATTTAGAAAAGGCCATTGACTTTAACTTGGATCGTACCTGTTTCAGTTATTTCTTTGAAATGTCACGTATAAATGTCAACACAAATAACATGATATCGTATGCATTCTGTGCTACAGCCCGTTATCGGGGAAGAATTCCATTAAATGTGAGTTATAAAAAATATATATATATGTATGTATGTATGTATAAATATTCTGTGTAATCACTAATATTGGAAAGATTGTGTACAGAATGGAATTTCAACCAAGATGCTTTGTTGGCTCAATCTTGGTAAGGATTTAAACAGGACTTAAATCAATGCAAGAACCTACACTGTTTTAATCAGGCGAAATTGCAATGATGTCATTAGAATCAGCTCATTGTTTTTCCATAATCTGAATATTCTACAGGTTTGACTGTCTGTGATCCATCATTTAATATTGTAAATACAAGACAGTCCATGCAATCTGTCAGTCATTGAAGGTGGGACTGATGGCTTGGGATACCTTGGTCCTGAAGAGTTAAAATGCTTTTATTGAATTGCAGTTGTACGTAGAAGAAAATCATAGTACTTTTTAAAGGATTTGTATATAACAACAAAATGTAGCTTGTAAACCTGTGATTGTTACTGTGAAGGCACCATAGTCCTTTTTTTTTTGTGAATACAGCTGCATCACATTCTGAGAGCTACCTGCCTTCTCTTAATCAGTGGGTTACAGGCTGACTCGTGTGTTGAATTTTTATAAATGTTCCTCTGCAGCACTCGTGATAGTAGGGCAAAGTTCCTATGCTGCAGCAAACTATCAGTGTGTCACATTTAAATCCTATTTAAGTTAGAGAAATAAGATTCAAAATAAAGATTAGAAATTAGTAGTATTAAAAAAAAAAAAAAAAAAAGCCATATTATTTGCTTTTGTCCCACAAATGTGCATTAGGTTTTTAAATATAATATTTGCTTGAATTGGTCTGCGAAGGCCAATCCTTTTTATAAAGCCATTTTTGAGAACGTTTATGTTCTTTTCGAGGATATTCATCATATTGGTTGCTCTCAGTGTAAAAAGCCATATTCTTTCAAGAAATCATGACGTTGTGATGTTTTGACTCCCATCACTGTCAACCACTGACTGAGAATGATAGTAGTTAGTACACGCGGTTATTCATTAACGTGAGAGTTAAAATTGAAATTTCAGATTTAAGGTGAAAATGACTGACCCGGAAAAATTGTATAGGTCGGCCATGCTTTCTCTACTCTGGCCTTAGATTTTAAATGCACTTTAAATTCTTACTTTATTAAATAACATTGATAGTATAATCCCATGTCTGTGTTTTCTTTTAAACCGGTTTTGGTGGTATTATAATGAATCGTGTAAGAATGTGGATAGTAAATTTTTGGACTTGCCAGAAACACATTTCACTAAACGATGCCTTAATTAAATTTGTATTTTTTAAATAAAGTTCATTTGATAACAATTCTGTGTAGGGTGCTGTTTTTATTATCCAATTTTATTTTCGTATTTTTATTTATTTATTTTTTGCCGACTTTCATTACAGAGACACAACTACTGTGATATTTTATGTTTTTAGGAAATAGTGTAGAGTGTTTTTGTTTTATATTGCTGGCAATTTTCATATAATTTAATAATACTTTTATACTTTGTAGGCTGAATTCTTGCAGGGACTGTCTCTGCATGAACGCCTTTACAATTATTATCTTCTCAGTACTTTCCATATATCACTTTCTTAAATTCTATTTCTATGGTAAATACATGTTGGTAGTGATTTCAATCTAGTGTTTCAATATCAAAAGTCTAAAAGCAGATAAACTTCTAGAGAACAATAGGATCATTTTGACCAGTCAAATGCTGCATGACGCATCATAGGTGTGCCCAGACACTCCTAATGCAGGGACATAATTTCTCCCTTGCCCCTGTTTAGCTCTCAATGGGGACTTTTACCTGAGATCAGGTTAGATTGTAATGTGAAGAAAAAAAGATGAAATGATTTGTATCTTTCTAAACCTTTTCAGTAGTGGTCCCATTCATGAAAACATTCTGTCTAGAAGAGATGAAGGTAATACACAGAATCTCCAGACTCTCTGGTCTTTGGTAGAAAATCCAAGAATGAGCAAAGACACAAAATATCACCATGACAAAGTAAAACGTGCCAGGCCAAAGCCATCAAGACAACAGCGCACGTGCCAAATATACCCAAAAATCAGAACTGTCCCTCTGAAAGTGGGACTGTTAGGAGAACTGAGGAAGTAAATAACATGGGGGATATATATATATATTATGTGTGTGTGTTTTAAACTTAGTCTATGTGTTCAAAATAAATTAAATGGAATCCTGACAAACGTTTAATCCAACATCATTTGTATGTCTGTATTTTTCTGTTTAATGCTGCTGTTTTTGCTCGCATATAAACCCAATCTCTGCTTGTTTGTATCTCTGCAGCTCCCTCTCTAGATATAACCATGACAAGCAAATGAGTCTCTTCCATTAAAGCCCCATTCATGGATGGGCTGGTCTGACTAGCAGGGGGCAATTGCCCCCTCCACCCCCTATGGGCTGGTGTGAATTTAATGATTTGGGACACCACAGGAGGTCTCCATGTCTATCACAAAGGCTGTCCATGCAGCAAAATCTATTGGGAAGTAGACCTGTCAATCACCTTTTCTGCCTCATTGAATAAGCTGATGTCTTTCAGTTCCCAGGCTTCCCAGATCAAGTTCCACTTGATATCTGCCATTGCACAATTCATTTACAACCCCATTCTTCACAGGCCAAAACCAAAATCTGCACCCGGTCCCTTATTAGTCAGCATATACAGTTGACCAGTTCTACCATATTTTTGAGAATACTCTGATATTCTCTCTGAACCAGAGGTGTCTAACAGTGACTCTCCAGACGTGGTTGGGTTGTTTTTTCCCTATTATTATTATTTTATTATTTATATAGCGCCATCAAATTCCGTAGCGCTGTACAATGGGTGGACTAACATACATGTAATTGTAATCAGACAACTGGATGTACAGGAACAGAGGGGTGGAGGGCCCTGCTCAATGAGCTTACATGCTAGAGGATAATTCCATGCCATCAGTCGGAGATCCACACTCTTACTTTAAGTAGTGCTTCTTTAACAAATAGCAAAATATTGTTATTATGTAATTGTTTTGATCAAAAACTCAATAAAAAAAAATTTTTTATTTTTAAATGGGTTGGAGTACTTTGGCTTTGAGGACTAATAAGGGTTTGACTACATTTGAGAAGATCTGTCTTCTTGCGCAGATCATTCAGCAATGTACAAGGATAAATCAGTGTCTCCTTTCTCCAGAATACTCACTCACCTGTCTCAAGCTTAAATCCTCGCTTTTCATTCTTCCTAAAGCTTCCATGGCATAGCTTCTTTCATCAAAAGGGGTGGAATAAATTTAAGAAGAGGATAGGGTAATCATGTAAATGAATGCTTTGAGAGATAGGGGATTGGTAAGGGACTTATCTGCTGTGAAAAGTAATTATTGGATTTGAGTGAGTTAACTGATAAGGCCGGGACATTTTTAGAAGAAATGAGTTCGAGTGGTGAGTGCGTGAGTATGACATCTAAAGTGATACATACCAATGATCAATCCTTAATCAACACAATTTATTAGTTTATGCACCCAAAGAATTTTGAAAAACCTTTTAATATAAAAAAAAAAAAAAAATTAAATGGATAATCAGGGACTTATTTATCCATTAAACAATCTTAAACTTAAGTGAACCTTTTTTATATATATATATATTTATTTATTTATTTATTTATTTTAAATGTATAGAGTATACTATAGTTAAGAGTACAAATAATACAAAGAAATAGAGCACATAAATTCAGTTGTGGTTTTTTTTTTTTGCTGTACTGGTAACCGATTTTATGGTCAATTTAATTATCTTTAGCTTCCCTAACACAATGAGCTCAGCCAAAATGACCCCCAAACTAGACTAGGCACCTAAATGCTGGTTAGGAAGGACAATTAGTCCCCAAATGTGGGTGCAACTGGACACACATTCCTGGACAATTCCCTTACTCAGTCATTACTATGACCGTAATCTGATAACTATCCTACAACCTGGCAATGCTAATAGCAGGTGGGCATCAGTTGGGTTCCAATTTGTGTTTTTAAACTGTTGGCCAAATATTGACTGGTTTTACTTGATTGAAATACAACAGCCAGGAGGATTAGTTTTACTACTGATAAAAGTAATAGATTTTCATTTGATTTTATAATAAGTCTAATTTTAGGATACATAAATATACCGTATATACTCGAATATAAGTCGAGGCCCCTAATTTTACCCCCAAAAACTGGGAAAACGTATTGACTCGCGTATAAGACTAGGGTGGGAAATGCAGCAGCTACTGGTAAATTTCTAAATAAAATTAGATCCCAAAAATATTATATTAATTGAATATTTATTTACAGTGTATATAATGAATGCAGTGAGTGTGAAAAAAGAAAAAAAGGGAGGGTCGGATACCATGACCCAGAGGGTACATTGCATTACCAATAGATACACACATGACAATTATTATTCGATAGTACATGCATACTTTCAATCCTGTGTTACACGAAAAATTAATGAGATGCCTATCGTTTTGGGCTTAGCGGCTAGGTACGGGGTGGCCTGTCTGAAAGAGTGCTGCTATGTAGGGTTTGGTCTCAGGCCTTGTGTTCCTTGTCGTGTCTACTTTGTACCTTGTCTTGCTGCTCTGCTCCCTTCATGTGTCTGCGAAAGACATAACTAATGTCTGGTCAGGTGGGCTTTTGGTTATGGTAGCTTAACTACATAAAAGACAAACTTTTTTTTTTTCTTTAATATGCGTGTGCTTGCATAGCCGTAGCAATGCTTTTGTGTCTCCCTTCTAGAGGTGGTGTTCAGATGTATTCAATTCCTCCCCATTCCTCCCTCAAGTCCTCCTGATCGCTTGGCTCATTTTTCTTTTTAAGACGGGGGGGGATTTTAAAGGAAGAGGTATGGATGGGGGGGGGGATAACTATTTACAAAAGAGGCTTGCTTCTTCAGTCTCTTGTCAGGGTGGTCCCATCATTTAGGGTGAAGCCCCCGCATTCGGAAGCTACAGAGTGTATTTTATTATTATTTTAATATTAAATTTTATTTTTATTTCAATATCATTACATTTTTATTTTATTATAATATTATTTAAATTTGTGCTGCTTGTTGCCTGGCCAGGGAGGGGGGCTATATTATTCCCTGGTGGTCCAGTGGATCGGCTGTGCAGGAGGGGGGCTGGGAGCAAGCTGTTACTTACCTTTACAGCAGCTCCGTTCAGCTCCCTTCTCCTCCGTGCCGTTCAGCTCCACTGTAAATCTCGCAGTCTGCGTGCCACGCGGAGCGTTGCCACGGTAACCCGTGGCAATGCTCTGATGGCCGCGGCTCTCACAAGACTTACAGTGGAGCTGTACGGCACGGAGGAGAAGGGAGCTGCTGTAAAGGTAACAGCTTGCTACCAGCCCCCAACAGGACCACCGGGCTTGTAATGAGCCCGGTGGTCCTGGTCTGTATTATGGCAATGTAAGTTGCCATAATACAGACACTGACTCGTGTATAAGACAAGTGGGGCTTTTTCAGCACAAAAAATGTGCCGAAAAACTCGTCTTATACTCAAGTATATACGGTAAATATGCAACATTCCAGAGTCTACAAGAATTTTCTTTCCAGAAAGCCACCTTTAGTCCGACTGAACACAGGTGACAGATTGTTGTTGTTCTTTTGTAAATCTAACCACAGAGCAGTGGTTCCCGAGTCAGTCCTCAAGTACCCCCTAGCCATCCAGAATTTATGGATTACCCAGTTGTGTTTAAGGTGTTTGTAGAAAGAAAAAAAAACAAAAAGAAAAACACTTTAGACACAACAGAGTAATCCCTAAATCCTGGCCTGGCAGGGGGAACTTGAGGACTGGGTTGGGAACCCCGGCACTAGAATAAGACTTTTTTTTTTTTTTAAATGTATTCTTATGACCGAGATGTTTTACAGACTACGCGGTCTGAATCTGAAAAATATGTAAATTCAAGAAATAATTTTTGTTTGGAAAAAGGTTGGAGGGCTATGGTATAAGCATCCTAAATACTTCTGTTGTTTTAGAAGGCTATTTAATATTTCAAGTGGACAAAGTGACTCAGTCGGATCATGTTTTAATTAATTGGAAGGGGGTGGAATAATTATGCCGCGTTGCATTGAAAAATGAGACTTGTAAGACAGCCAAAAGAAACAGGTTTATGGGACACCGAAAGACTGTAGCAAGACTCAGCTTGTAGGTGAAATAATTTAAATCAGGCTTTACTACAAAGAGAGATATCAGAGCGCACATGGATTTTATTCAATTTTAAAAGTAAGATGAAGTTTTTAGAAATATGGACATCAATATAGTCTTGTGGGGTTAAATTCCATAAAAATAATATTTAAAACAAAGTA